TCACTTTTAGCCATCATCGGCCCATGAGTCATTCTTGTGTGCCCAATTCTCAGACTTGTTAATACAACTTCCACTTGTCGGTTTCGGTGGATATTGGTCGCCCAACTACCAAGGTCATCTCTAATCTCTCGTAGTTTATTTCTAGAGGTATGCCTCCACTGTTCCCTCCATTTATCACGAAGACAACTTCTGATGCTGGGTTTCAAATCAGTGTGTGGGAAAACGAGCATCACAAGGCTGAGCGGCAGCTGCCTTGGCCTTCCGATCAGCTCGCTCATTCCCACTGATACCAATATGTGCTGGCACCCAACACAGAGTTATCTTTTTACGTGCTGACATCAATGCAAGCCAGTCTTGAACCTCCCTCACCACTGGATGTGATGAGTTTAAGCTCTTTTATTGCTTGCAAGGCGCTACAAGAGTCACAATATATTATAATAGAATTGTTCGTAAGATCTCTAGTCATCTTGACTGCTGCAAGGATGGCATGTAACTCTGCAGTGAAAATCGAGGCTAATCGAGAAAGACTGCCAGATGCAGTCTTCCTTCTGCTCACTGCTGCAAAGCCCACACCATTTTCAGATTTCGAACCATCTGTATATATTGCATATGATCCCTTGTACTTAAAAGTGTGTTGAAGAAATATCTCTCTGACTTCTGCTTCGGATCTCTCCCCTTTCCCAATTCCGACCAAATCAAACTCGACTTGATTAATCCAAGGGGTGACTTGGGAAGTTCCAAAAACCAGAACCCTTGTGAGATTTAAATTAAGTTCTTCCACAAGATTCCTCATTCTCCTACCATAGGATCGGCTATCCTCAAGGGGGTTGAAAACCAATCTGGATGTAGGAGATCCCGGAATCCTTTGTCTCGTGTAGTAAATTAGATTCATGAAGTCCCGGTGTAATGAAAGAGGTGGTTCTCCACTCTCAGAATACAGGGACTCTACAGGTGAAGACCTGAAAACCCCTATACAAATTTTCAGGGCTTCATTATGAACCGAGTCCAACATCCGGAGAACGCTGGAAGTTGCAGATGAATAACCTTCACATCCATAGTCAAGTTTACTACGAATAAGTGCTCGGTAAAGTCGCAGAAGCGTTGTGCGGTCTGCACCCCGAGATAGGTGGGAAAGAACCCGCAAAATACTAAGCGCTTTTGTAGCTTTCACCTTTAACTGTTTAATGTGAGACACCCATGTAAGCCATGAGTCAAAAATTTGACCCAAGTACTTTACCTGTTGGACAAAATGCAGTGGATTTGCTCCTAAATAGAGGGGTGGAACTTTCTTTGTTTATGGAAATGCATAGCCATGGTCTTGCTTGGAGAAAATTTGAAGCCATGGTATGTTGCCCATTGCACAACCTGATTTATTGCAGTCTGCATGTGTCCTTGCACATCCTGTAAGCTTGCTCCTGAGCAGTACAGTGTAAAGTCATCCACATACAGACTATATGAGACAGCACTTGGAACGACTTTTACTACTTTTCCCTTTTACTTTTTGTGAAGGAATTCTGTATAGCAGTTTCCATCCTCACAATTGCATCTGTGGTCGCTCTCAGTTTTCTAAACCCATGTGGATATGGGGTCAGCACGTTTTCTTTTTCTAGCAGCCATGTCAACCTGAAGTTTACCATTTTCTCCATCAACTTGCAGATACAGCTGGTGAGAGAAATTAGTCTATAATTCCCTGGTATGGCAGTATCCTTGCCAGGTTTAGGGACAGGAATGATTAAAGCTTCTTTCCATGTGGATGGCACTGTTCCCTAGCTGTAGATCCTATTGAATAGATCCAACAGGAACGTTTGGGAGCTCTCTGGTAAGTGAGATATCATATGGTATGGAATACCGTCACTTCCTGGGGCAGTTTTTCGGCAGAGCTGCAAAGCAGAGTCCATCTCCTTGCGCTAAAATGGCAAGTTGTATGGAAGTTCTGCTGCAGTGGTACTGAAGAACGACACTGGGTGTCGTTCCTGTTCAGCCTGAAGAGTCGAAAATCGGGCAGTGTAAGATGCTCCAGAGGAGATCTCTGCCATGGATATCACCAGCTCATTTGCAACATCTGCTTTGTCTGTGAGGATTATGCTATCTATTTTCAGAGCAGGTGGTGATATAGATGTGCTCTTTCCAGCGATCTTATGCCCCTTGTCCCATACCCATGCTAAGGGGGTCCCAGAGTTAATCATGGAGACATACTGCCTCTACAATGTCTGTCTAGCCTCCTTTAGCACTCGCCTGGCCTTGGCTCGGGTCTTTTTGTACTGGATCAAGGTTACATCCCTTGGGCGTTGTTTCAACTGCCTTAATGCAGCTTTTCTTGCTCTTACAGCTTGTTGGCATTCATCAGACCACCATGGTACCGGAATTGATGCTTCTGCTGGAAGGTGAATCCGCGATGTGAAGTCATTAACAGCATCTTGAACACACTGGAAATCATTCATAGATCCTTGCAATACTGCAGTTGATCTATAAAGATTCCAGTCTGCATGTTCAAGTCGCCATCTCTGCACTCCATTGGCTGGAATACCATTCACCTCTTCCAAAAGTATTGGAAAGTGGTCACTTCCATGACCTGCGAAGTGAAATTCAACTGCGAATCAGATGAACCAACTGACAAGTCAATATTGGAGAATGTCCCAGTTTGAATTTGGAAATGTGTGGGTGCATCTCTGTTCAGTAGAACTGCATCCACTTTTGAAAACAAGGACCCCAAGGCCCTTCTTCGAGGGTTGCACTCCAAGGCCCTTCCTCGAGGGTTGCACAAAGTGTCTCCCCAGAGGTGATGGCGACCATTGTCTCCCAAGTCTCCCAAGAGTAGAAATGGATGAGGCAACTGCCCAAGTAAATCTTCCAAATCACCTATGTTGAGATTATGTGGAGGGAGGTAGATGGATGTGTAAGGTTATGTCAACACAGTGTAAAGTTGTGTCAAGCCTATTCTCACGGCCTTCACCTGCAGTGTCGTCTGCAGGTTGATGGCCTGGAAGGGAATATCCTGACGTACCATCACTGCTACTCCTCCATGAGATCCATTATCAAAGGTCCCATAATGGGCTTGAACTTGGAATCCTCTCAGGGAAATTATGACCAGGGAAAATTGTTCAATCTCTTGTAGGCATACACAAATTGGATTACAAGAAGCTATCAGATGTTGCAGTTCTTCCCATTTTGCATGAATTCCCTGACAATTCCATTGGATTAGGGTATCCAGTTGTTCAGGTTGACAAGCTACTTCATAAGGTGTTTGGCAGCACCTGTAGTTAAGGTCCGCCCCACACCTTTAGGCTATCCCTTTCCAGCATCTTGGGAAAACCTTTTGATGGTCTGTTTACCGGTGGAACTAGTTTCCACAGGCTTTCTTTGGACAGGCTCAGGATTTCTTTGCTTGGGCAAAGGACAGACCTGAGCCTTTGGTTCAGGAGCATTCTGTTTAGCAGCAGAGGCCCCTGTGGATGTGGTGGCAGCTGGAGCTGTCACCTTTGAGGTCTCTGGAGCCTTAACTGATGGCTCCAAAGACCTTACTTTGGGAGGAGTCTCCTCAATAGACCCCTCACTTCTACTTCGTTTCTGGTGGACCAACTCACCAGAATCAGTTTCAGCATTTGAGGACTGATGTTGAACGGTAGTGGCAGAGTGTGTGGAGTTAGGAGTATTGGAGGGTAAGGGATGGCAGGAAGGAGGATGGGCTAGACCTGAGGCAAAGGACTTACCCGGCTGTGCAAATAGCACACGGGCACGTCGCTTTGCTTCTGCAAAACTAACTTTCTCCTTACTCCTTATTACCAATACTTCTTTTTCAAATCTGTACCTTTTACATTGCTTAGAAGAAGCTTCATGATCTTCTTTGCAGAGGTAACAGCATATTGGACCACACTTCACACACACTCTTGGTTGTCAATTCCCCTTGGTGCCGGGTGACGCCGATCGGCGTGTAAACAAAGCGCCGAATAAGCCGGCGGCGCGCCAAAGCGTGGCGAGCCACTGATTCGGGCTGATGTCCCCTACTCACGCGCTCAAAATCGGCGCGCCGCCTTTGTTTGTTTAAGCATAGAGTTTTTTTTTTGTTTTGTTTTGTACACCCGGCGCCATTGGGTTAAAGCGGCAAGTGTTGGCTCCGTGCCCATAACCCTGGCAGTGGAAACACTGCATAGGGTTTGGTACATATGGCTTTTCCTTGAGGTGGTACCATGCCAAATTAACCGATTCAGGAAGGCCTAAGGATTCAAAAATTAGAAGAAGAGCTGGTGTCGACTGTTCCAAACCATCAACTTTCTTTTACGTTTTACTGCTACTACATTAAAATTCTTTAATTCTTCTAACAGTTTCTCCTCAGAATACCTCATCAGGTCTCAGGAAAAGACAATTCCCTTACACTGATTGAGGGTTTTGTGGGGAGAACATGAGACTTGAGCCCCAGGAATTTCGAATATTGTATGCAGACGGTCACTCTCATCTGGTGATGATACCTCAACTATCAGGCTACCATCTCGCTGTGGGGTGATGCAAGGATCACGTTGACATACCTCTGCTATCTTCCGATGTACTTCAAAAATATCAAGATCTATGATAGATACACCATCGATGGTCTTCACAACTAGGTATTTACTATAAGATACATTTTCATATTTACCAGGTAAGATTTCCTCAATGGATTGAGGAGGACTTTTCTCCATACCTGGTTTGGGAGCTCGGGAACAATTATGATTCCCATTTTTGCCCTTTGGAATCTGGTAAGGTTCCAGAGTGACAATATGTGATGTTCTAGAGGGATTGGCCAGGGGATTGCGAATGTCGTCAGGGAGAGAGCTTTTTAAATTTGTAGTAATCATGCAAATTAGAAATCTTCATTTCCTCACCCCCCCCCCCACCCACCCACCATGGAGTCCAATGAGGGGAAGCTATAGTTGGGGCTCAAATTTTCCCAACAGCCACAGGGGTAGTAAGGAAATATACGCAGTCACCATTACAGTGCTCAACGTAAATTACTTTAAAAACAAAAGCAATACCGCTGAGCGAGACGAGAGGCCCCGAAAACCAGGATAGCTCCTGTGGCACAAGGCTTGGGTTTGGGTCTATTGCTGCTGTGTCTGAAAAGAGGTCCGAGCTGGTCAAAGTCCTCGCACACGAGTAACCGACGTCACACCATCAATTTCTTTCTTTTCTTCCTTTGTTGGATTTCTTGGCTATCAACCAGCGGCATGGGGCCAAGGCTGTTAAGCCAATGGATCCTATTTATTCTATCAATCTATATAAGGTCATAAAGTTTTGTCTCTCTTAAAAAGTTATTACTTTACTGATGATTTTTACATCATCTGATAGTATATTTGATAATGAAAAATCATTATTTATTAGCTGGAAATAATTTTCTAATCTTTACCTATGGATATTGTATTTATTGCAAACTGTAAGGACATGATTAAGGGTATGGATTGTGTTGCAAGGGGGGTATTGTGGAGGGTATTTCTTTTCTATGTAGGGAGTGAGGTGGGTAAATCTTGAGGCGTTGACCCTAAGGCGGGCCAACACTACCTCCTCCCTTCTCTCTTTCCTGTGGGATGTGCCCCACAGTTCTATTTCTGGTTTGATTTTATTTGTGAGATGGAGGTTGGTACATTCACTTTGCCACAGGAGATGTATTTTTGCTTTTATAAGACACAAAACACCCGAGATTTGTACGAACTATGGTAGTGTCCATATCACCAGTTGACCCGGCTAATTTATCAGCCTGTTCATTGCCATGGATACCAGAGTGGCCCATATTAGCTTGATTGGTTTGTTGGCACCATGTAACTTATGAATGATATTACCCAGCAATTCATTTTTAGTGGTTTAATAGCATTAAGTGAACTTAATGAATCTGAAAAAATAACTATTCAATCGTGGGTCGTCGATAGTGCAAAATCAATGGCTTTATCAATAGCAAAGAGTTCAGCAAGAAAAATCGATGTATGATTCGGCAGTCTGAACTTTAGTTCACATTCAGTCGACCATACACCAGCACCCACACACTCCTCTGTTCTGGAGCCGTTGCTATATATATATGAAAAAAGTTTAGATGTTTAATAAGGATCTCTGAACCTCTAGCGTACCTCCACCTCCGGCGCCATGGCCTTGGCTGATGGAAGCAAGGCCATATGGTAACTGGCCGTGTCTGAGTCGGAGGGAAGGTACTCCTGACTCCACCTCCAGACGCTCGATCCGAGTGCATTTTAGGGCTCCAACACATGCAAACAAGCATTCTGCACAGCATCCAATTCTCGATGCCGAACCATACACGACTGACCCATAATCTACTTTAGACCTAATCAGGGCTTTATATACCATTAGCAAATACTGTCTATCACCTCCCCATTTATTACCAGAAATGCACTTTAATATATTTAGTGCTATTTGACATTTATTCTTTAACTGACCAATGTGGTCTTTCCAGTCTACTATCAAAAAGAAGCCCAAGAAATTTAGCAGAATTTTTGAGGAGCTGGTAAGATATCATTTATCATACATAGAAATAATATTGGTGACAAGACACTTCCTTGTTGGACCCCGTTTGCCTGGACAAAAATGTCCGAAAAAGTGACATTGTCAGAAAATAATTTGACAGCAAACTTTCTGTACGAAATGAAATTTTAAATAAAACAAGGCAAGTTTCCACGTATTCCAAAAGCATAAAGTTTTCTGAGTAGGCCATATCGCCATTTAAAGCGTTGGCTTTTTCTATATCTAAAAAAAATCAAAAAATCTTTCTTGGCAATTGCCTCTTGAATATGACTATCCAGCTTACTAGTTGATCGATTGAAAAATTTGAAAAATGCAATAGCCTACTGTTAACAATTCGTTCCATGACCTTGCATAAGCAACTTGTCAACGCAATTGGGCGGTAGGAGATATCATTTATCATACATAGAAATAATATTGGTGACAAGACACTTCCTTGTTGGACCCCGTTTGCCTGGACAAAAATGTCCGAAAAAGTGACATTGTCAGAAAATAATTTGACAGCAAACTTTCCTCTTTTCAATATGGGAATGATGTGGGCGAAGTGCCATGAGTTTGGAAAAGTGTGGCTTTTCCAAATTTCATTGTACAATTCTAGCAACTTAATCATGTCATTATGATTAAGATGCTTTATCATCTATCGAATCTCATCGGGGCTGGGGATGTTCCTCTACACGCTTCTAGGACTCGGACAAGCTCATCCATGGTAAGATCTTTATTGTAATCAAAGTCATCTCCTGTGGCAAAGTGAATAGGTTGCAGCTCAGTCCGTTTCCTTGATGGGCAGGAATGCGGGATGATAGTTTGCTGAGCTGCTTGTATGAGAGAACTGCCTGGCGAGTGCATTAGCAGTATCTCTAGGTGAATCGAAATTGTTACCCTCGTGAGTGATGTTAATTTTTGAAAGATGTTTTTTTCTTATTGATTGTGGACCAAACCTCTGATCTTTTGGTGTTGCTGTTTATTGTAGAGACAAAGCTCTGCCAGGAGTCTCATTTTGCTGTCTTATTACTCTACGCTATCTGTCGAAGTTTTAGGAGTGGATAGCAAAGCTGCTTCTATAATCGAATTCTGAATATTGTTTATTTTATTATTAATGGTTTCTCCAATAAGTTCGAGCTTGACGCTCCTTGTGAAGACACAGTCTGCTCTTTTTACGTTAAATTTAGGCTCTGAAGGCATTCTCACTGTGTCACATGTATATTTAATCAAAATAGGAAGATGATCGCTCCCCAACGAGTCGCCAATGGTGTGCCACAGGCACTTGGCTGTTACTGATGAAGAGACCAATGGTAAATATATAAAGCTCAAATTACCGGTATTATCGTCCACCCGCGTTGGACTACCATCGTTCAGAAGGACTAAATCAGACTCATTAATCAACTTAACTACTTGCTCACCTCTTCCATCCATCTGCAGGGAACCCCAAAACGCATGCTGAGCATTAAAATCACCTAAAATTATTTTGTGGCAGACGTTCCTGAAGAGCAAAAAGCTCATCATAGATTATCTCTGTATCAGGTGGATAGTAAACTGAACATATAGCCAGATACGTGCCATTAATCTTTACTTTGCATGCGACAAATTCCAAAGTAGAATCAATAGTCACTTCTGTAAAAGGGAGGTTTTGGTGGATGTACATGGCGACTCTGCCTCCACCCCTACCCTCACGATCCTTCCGACCATAGATGGTAGTTCCTCAGCGTAACGACCTCGTCAGAGACGAGGTGAGTTAAATGGGTTTCTTGGAGAACTATAGTATCGGGAGCATAGGACGAGACTAATAATTTAAGGTTATTTACTTTAGATCTAAGACTTCGACAGTTCCATTTATAATGGTCGACGCGAAGATTACGTTTTATGGGGTTTGGAAGTGCCTTGTCCACCAGTTTTAATTTTCTTTTTCTGGGAGGGCGGCGCCTCCTCTCCTTCGCTTCCCGGGAAACCTCTCATGGGATGGTTTGGAGACAGAAGCCTCCATGTCCTGCACCTCCTGGAGAGGGAGACGACTGACAGATTGCGATCTGCTTCTCTCTCGAGCCAGACGAAGTCCTAACAGAAATACCCCGGACGGAAAGGTGCGCTTCGGACTGTGATTTGGTATCATCCTCCTTTTGATGTTTATTCTGGGTTGATGCAGCCATTTGACCGACCAGTTTAGTCAGTTGATAAAAGTTTAATATTCAATTCATTAACGGTTTGTTTCAGTTCAGCAATCTCTTTATCTTTAGCTGCAAGCTGTTGACTGACATCACTTGCACTAGGGGTGTTGTTAGTTACTGCTGCGGCATAGGAAGTATCGAGTTTGTGTGTCAAACTTTCAACTTTCCTTTTAACTTCAGTATAACTAACTTCATGTTTCCTCATATATGCTAATGTCTCAGTCTCCTTCTTCAGGATGCTGCAATCAGCAGATCCTGACTGATGGGAACCTCCACAGTTAGCACATCTTTATCAATACATCTTAATAAGGTGTGTCCGAATTTTTGGCATCTATTACAATGCATTGGCTTTTGGACATAAGGTCTTACTTGAACATGTTCATATCTGACATTGACAAATTCTGGGATTTTATTCAAGGCAAAGGTAAAAAAAACACAGTCCAGTTTTCGTTCGCATATTCCCGTCCTTCTTGGTCATACAATGAACGTCCACTACATCTTGGTCCTTCATGCTCTCGAGAATTTCACTTTCTCCCATCGTGTTTTGTCATTAGTGGGGTTTCCATTGTTCGTTGTCAGATTGGTCATAAAGGAGTCTTGAGTCGCCCCTCTTCCTTGAGGAGGAGAAGGGGTACTCGGGGTATCACTCATTCTGGGTACCGGACCAGGTCCGACCCCTTGTCTCATAAATGTTGTCTTGAAGGGATCAAACTTTTGGTATCAACCTAACAGCAATACCTAAGAGAGTAAGGCAGTTTTCCGTCCTCTACCCCCTCAGTGCAAGCTTGGTTGCGTTCTCCAGTACCACAGAGGGATCGAGTTGTGTGGGACACTTCCTTACCGTCGGACTTGCCTAGGCGAAGGATGGTAATTCAATGCCCACCCCCCAAGCGAATACGGGAGTTCACGAGGAACTCTGGTAGGCTCAGGAAAGTCACATTATGAGGAAAAGAATTTAGAAAATAAGAAAAAGTGCGCCCAAATGACGCCCCAAACTACTGGGCCTCCCTACCCAGGGGTCAAAGCCACAAGGGCTGCCCTAGTGTAGAAGAGAGCTGCGGGTCTGAGGTGGGGTGCTCACTAGGCCTACTGCCTCGTCTCACCTGCAAAACAGGAGCACTGAATGTGCTAGCAAAGCACTATAATGGTCTGTAATTACAGAATTTTACTTTATTTGAGTTACTTTAGAACTCAGAAACAACAATGCCTAGCGAGACGAGAGGCCCCGGGCTGCAGGGTAACTCTTCTGGCACAAGACTTTATGTTTTCTATTTCTGGCGTTTCTCTCTCATTTGAAGTACCTTCTTCAAAAACGCTCCTCTCATTCTCCTCATTCAGTAGCTTTTCAAAGTAGACCTTCCATCTATTCCTAATTTCATTCTCGTCACTGAGTACTCTTCCTTCTCCATCCCTTATCTGTTTTATCTGTGAAATCTTTTGTCGCTCTATTTCTCCTCTTTGCTAACAAATATAT